CTTTTTTCTTTTTGGTGGTTGATATTTGAGAAATGTTCTCACCGTAACCCTGGATGGGCTTGAACTCACTTTGTAGACCAGTCTGGTCTTGAACTCACAGATATGCACCTGCTTCTGCCTCTCAAGAGCTAGTATTAAAGAAGTATACCACTACTCCTGGCTTCTTAATTTTTATTTTAGATTTATTTACTCTATTTTATGTATATGGGTATTTTGCCTGCATGTATATATGTGCACCAAATGCATGGCTAGTGCCCATGGAAGTCCAAAGAGGATGCTGGATCCTCTAGAATTGGAGTTACATGAGCAACCATGTGGGTTCTGGGTCCTGGACAGAGCAGCCAGTGCTCTTTGCTACTATGCCATCTCTCTAGTCTCTCCATTCAATTTCTTTACCATATTATCATTACATTTTAAGCTACTGTTTCTCAGCAACTTGGCAGCACACACTGCTTTCTACCATCCTGTTGGTCCCATTTTTTTAAAAAAGAAGACTTTGTTTTAGTTTTGTTTTTCAACAATATTTTGCTTCATCTCAAGCCATCTTCCCAGCTTTCCCATACCTTCCCTTAGTCTTGATTTTATAAACAGAGCAGCCCAGATAGACAAAATTAGCAGAAGGAGAGACTGAAGGGAAAAGGACCTAGCAGAGTAGCAAATAATATAGGCTGACAAGGTGTGTAAGATGCTGACATTCTTACACACCTTGGATGTAAGAAGTACAGAAGTTCTCAGGCAAGATAGAAAGATAAAATAAGCAGTATCTATGATTAGTCAACAGAAGCTGGGTGAACCTTGTGAGCAGATGAGTCACAAAAGAAGAAATAATAGACAATATTAATATGAAAGGATGCTTGACTTTACAAAGAATCAGGAAAGTTTTGCGTATATCCAAAAAGATGAAGACTGAGCCATGATGGTGAGAGTGTAAGGGAACACTCTCAGGCAGTGCTAGAAATGAAGTAAGTTTTCTACAGCTGTCTAGCAACATACATCTACACTTTAAACATCTACAGCTAGCCGGGTGCTGGTGGCACATGCCTTTAATCCCAGCACTTGGGAAGCAGAGACAGACAGATCTCTGTGAGTTCGAGGCCAGCCTGGTCTACAGAGCGAGTTCCAGGACAGCCAGGGCAACAGAGAGAACCCCTGTCTCAAAAAAACAAACAAAAAAGGAAACATCTACAGGTTTTTTTTTTAATCTCAAAACTCCTACATTTAGGATTTAGCACAAGAAAATAATCAGATGAGTGAACAAAAGTGTGGATTTGAAATCACTGATAACTTTTGCCTTGTTTGTAACCTAAGAGCAAGGCAGGATTATGGAAGAGGAAAAGGATATTTTTGTCTGTTGGTGGGAAATTCTCTACCAAGACATAATCAACTATGGTACATCCATATCACGCATGCATTAAAAGGAATGATACAGTTCTTCACTATGAAATAGAAAAAAATGGCTAACTGGAAAGGACAGGACACAGATCAGCAAGTGTAGTCTGATCCCGTTTACCTAAAATGATGTCTAAAGACAAATGCAATGAAAAAGGTCACAGAAGTTCTCTTAGGTGGACTCCTCTGGGAGGTTTAGTCTCCACGTTAGGCCTTTCTGGTTTGTCACTTTTTTATTATTTTGTAGAAATATGGGACATAATAAAAATTGTGCATAATTCAGAAAAACTTTTGTACTTTTCTGTAAGAAGGAACATAGAAACAAATGAAGTAGCTGCAATGTGCGGCAGTTGAATGAGATATCCCCCACATTCTCGGGCATTTGAATACTTAATACTCAGTTGGTAGCCCTGTTGGGGAAGTGTGGACTTGATGGAAGACGTGTATCATTGAGGACAGGCTTTAAGAGCTTAAGCACTTGTGCCATTTCAGTTTGCTCTGCTTCCTGCTTGCAGTTTAAGTGGTGAGCTGCCAGCTCTCAGCTTGCTGCCCAGTTGCCATGCCATCCTCTTCCACCACCACAGTGAGGGCCTCTTCTTATTCCTCCTTATAATTATAAGCCCTCGCTAAGTTGCCTTGATCACCGTGCTGTACCACAGCAGCAGAAACTGAAAACACAGTGATCCCACCTGATTTTTAGACTACAGAGACATTCTATTCTTCATGAGATAATCTAAACTGCTTGTTAAAAGTTCATTTCTGTAAGCCTTTTGTGTAGGCTTGGGATAGTGGCTCACACCTGTAACTCCAGCACTTGACAGACTGGTGCAGGAGGATTCCCCCACAAATTCAAGACCAGCCTGGGACTACATAGTGATTCTGAGGCCAACCTGGGCTAAATAGTAAGATTCTGCATGGAAACAAAAAAAATTCAGTTGTGTAAACCTGTTCTCAAAAGACAGTGGAATTATGTCTATGAATGCAGATCTCTCTGCCAAGCTATTTTTAATCTTTAGATTTATTGATTATTTGACATGTAGGTGTGTTTTGGCTGCATGTAGGTCTGTGAACCACACACATGCCACGTCCACAGAAGCTTGAAGAGGGTGTTGGATCCTCTGGAACTAGAGTTGCATCAGGTTATGAGCATCCATTTGGGTGCTGGGAATTGAACCTAGGTCCTCTGGAATAGCAGCCAGTGCTCTTAACCATTGGGTCACCTCTCCAGCACCCCCTCAGCTATTTTTTTGATACAACTATTAGATTTATCTAAACATACCACTGTGGGGCGTTTACCCAACACCCCCACAGTTCCCCAGAGTTTTCTTGAGTGCGAGCAGCAGGAAATATTAGATAGAAGGATTTATTGCAGAGAATATCGCGGAGATAAACAGATAGAAAATAAAGGATAGCCTCGAGAGGGCCTGGAACCTATTCCAACGGGCCCCGACTGTCTCTGCCCCAGGGTTTTTATAGAGACGCCAAGGGGTGGAGCAAAAGACCTCCTCCCCCAGCACAGCCAAGTGCAGACCATCTCAGACACCTGCACTCAGGCCTGTGGTCCTAATCATCCTCTATGCGGACATGCTGGGTAAAGCCACGAGGAACCCGAGAACGGGCTCCCACATACCACAAGGGTTTTCTCCAAGACATTTATCAAGCCAAAATATTTTTTATCAAGAAATACATGTCAACATTGAAGGTGTTAAAAGATTACTGCCTATATTCAGGGTCTCCCTAAAGCATCCTGGAGATGGGAACTTGAGAATGTATTTTATCTGGCTGTGGGCAAAGTGAGATGGAGCAGGAGGAAAGAAAAATATAAGGTTTGCTAATAAATGAGTATTATGACAGACTAAACTAGAGTCTGGTCCCTCTGGAAGACTTCTGAAAAACATTCTAGAAAAGATTACAGAACTGTTCACTGACATCAAGGAGTCATGGGGCTTTATCCTCATCACTCAAGAATAAAGTATCAGGACTGCTCCTAGAACTTTCCAGCCATGAAAATATGAGCCTTGGGTGCATATTAAGGTGTCTGAGGCAGATGGGGTGATATTTGCAGTATGTTTATCAGCTAACCAAAGCTTTACAATCCCATGAGGTATATATTGGCCTTACTTTAAAGATAAAGAGTCTGAGGCACACAAAGATTACTCAGTCTCTGAAAAAACAAACAGGTAGAAAGCAGCAACGCTAAGCTCCAAATACACTGAGAGATGCACATACATTTCCATTCTCAGTCCTTGCAAGGGAAACACTGACACAGCTACCCAGATTATTTTAATCTTCTTGCATACATACTAGAGTCTTCTAGTTCCTAATCCTATAACCAAGGGAAATTTTCATAACATCATCACTCACGGCTACTCTTACCCTAGAGACAAGTCACTATGAAATTATGTCAGAATTTGGATCAAAGTATGGAGGAAAATTTTTATCTGATGAACTCATTACAGAGACTCAGTTTCATAGAGTTCCAGATTCGAGTATATTAAAATATAATCTATAACTTTACTATGAGGGGAATACTTTATTAGAATAAGCGAAACATCCTGAGCACTGCCAAGACACTGAGATCATGCTAATGTAGAGCCAATGAGACTCTTTGCTTTAGTAGAAAGGGTAATAATCTGCACATCACTAGCAGCCAAGTCTGCCTTGATTTAAACTGCACACAGATTGAGAAAACATTTCAGGAAATCATACTGATAGTTCACCTACATACGTCAGTGGAAAGGCCCTTGCAGCTCCCCAAATGACATCCGAGACAGTGCTATCTACACTGTCTGAAGCAAAGGTATGTCTCTTACGTTTTATTCCTTAGCTTTCCTAAGACATAGCCTACCACACAGGAAGTAGGGGGAAAGGCAATCCTCTCTGACACCCCTCAGCCCTGGTGCAGCTTTTGGCTTTAAAAAAAAAAAAAAAAAAAAAAAAAAAAAAAAAAAGGGCCGGGCGGTGATGGCGCACGCCTTTAATCCCAGCACTCGGGAGGCAGAGCCAGGCGGATCTCTGTGAGTTCGAGGCCAGCCTGGGCTACCAAGTGAGTTCCAGGACAGGCGCAAAGCTACACAGAGAAACCCTGTCTCGAAAAACCAAAAAAAAAAAAAACAGAAACCCAGAGCAGCCCACCCAACCATTAGTCAGATTTGGAGTCTTCTGCATTAACCCTAAGAACACAAGGATAAACTGGCATAGAACTAGGTTCTGGATAGGTGCTGATCACTGAGCTCTGACCCTAAAGAACCACACGGTGTCTCGGGAAAATGCCAGTGATCTTATTTACAAATTACCATAATACAGAGGACAAGACTGCAGCCAAGCACACCGTGGGATGCCTGGAATTGAAGCATTTTTATTCTGTTAGTAAAGAAGAACTTCGTAATTCTTCATCCTCAGCAGTGTGGGCAAGTCTCCAGATTCATATGCTATGTATTTGTCTGGGATTTTTCCTGCCCAAGAATATCACAGCAACATAAAGAGTTGCATGGATAGGAAATCTGCCAGGTCTGTCTGCTCTTTTCCCTGACACAGAGGCCTTTGCAGCAGAGACATATACCGGCTCCAACAGGAAAGGGAAGGACTTGGGTGGGAAGGCAGCACTTCACCTGGCACACTGGGCTGCTGGAAGACTTTATTCAGATCCAAGGAGGAGGCTCTGGAATGGGTTTTCTGTGGCCGCGGTGGCGGGGTGGGAGGGTCCTCACCCCTTTTCATGGTCTCTTCTATGGAGGTGCTAGAGTAAGATCTGTAGCAAAATAAGGGAAGGTCAGAGGGGAAAGAGTAGAGCTGTATTCCCTGAAGCTGGGTTGAAATAGAAAATACCCCAAAGTCAAAATGAATACAGAGAACAGAAAAAAAAAGCAGCTAGAAATCCTACCATCCCTTCAATGGCACTGTGTACAATAATTGTCCAAACGCAGCCATGGTTGGGATCTTTAGCCCTTACTATGCCATAAGCCTAAATTTATACTCTCTCCAAAAATGTTCTGTATTAATTCCAATCAGTTTCTGTCATAGTTGTTAATAAGAATGGTGTGTAAGCCTTTCAGCATTCATACTTCTGGATTTTAGGGAAAGGGCTTCATGGTATTAATTGATTTAAAAATTGGTTTACTTGCAAAGTGGTAGCAAGCACATATGGAATGGGGACAGCCATGCTGTGACTAAGAACCCAGTTGCAAGGGTTATGTCACAAACGACACTTAGGAAAAAGAAACACATCAATCAGCTTCAGGGGGTTAGCTAGTCTTGCCTGCAAAACAAGGGTTTAATGGAAATTTTCGAAGCAAAGGTTTAATTTTAACCTTCTTTAAAGTGTAACAAGGCACAGCTAACTTGGTGACTTCAGATACTATAATAATTACATTTAAAGAAAATGGAAGAAAAGATAGAATGTTGCAAACTCCAGTCTGTTTCTGTTTCATTTTTTAAGATGTTGTTTCAGTGCTCATGATATCTTCCTGCAGTAGCAGCTAGGATATTTTTTTGGCAACCTACTTATTTTCTGTATTCATTTAACTCCATACTTTGGTCTCATGATAAGGACAAGTTCCCAATATGATGACCAGGAAAAGCATGGAGAAAGTGGATCTCTTCTATTCAGGTTCTCAGCTGATTTCATGTCAAAGGAGAAAATGACCTCTGAATCATAGATACATCTGAGAAAGAAATTATCTTCAGGAAACTGGCTTCTGTGTTTAGCTATTACAATAGTTCTTCCTGAATTAGAGTTGATCAATGGCTATTAAACCCCTTTAGTTTGGGTAAAGTTGTTTTTGACAAAGCAAAGTTTTGTTTGTTTTTAATTGTTATTAAGAATGTTCTTTGACCACTTCATACATGTCTAAAGTGCATCGGATTATTACAAGCCCCTCTCTAATTTCCCTCCAATTCCTATTATCCCCTCTTCCTCTCAAGTCTCCTTCCCACACTCATGAGGGTTTAGGGGGCTTGTTATTTTGTTTTGCTTCTTTGTTTATAAGACCCACTGTAGTTTATGTGTGTGACTGTAGGCTTGGAACCATGCATTGGTGTCTAGTGAACGCTTCAGTGGGTACACAATCACAATGACTGCTCCTTCTCCAGAATCCATCAGTAACCAATAGTTCAGCAGGGAAGAGCAGGATCCCATAAGGTCCAATTCTTAATTAACTGTTGCTAGGCAAGGACTTTATTTTCCAAAACAAAAAAGTTTCTCAAGGTCTCTCTGTGGTGGCTGACGGTTTTGTTTGTCTTGTAAGGACACAATCTTTAAGACAACCATAAAAATGGTATGGGGCATGCTCTTGGATTGGTCCTAGTACCCTATCTGGCCAGACAGATGAGGCAAACACAGGCAAGAACAAAGGGAAAAATTCTCTAACAATGTCAAACAGAACCAAAGGGAATCAACATAATAAGACAACTAAGTTTTTAAAGAACCATTGCTCTGTAAAGAAAATTGGAATCCCCAACTAGAAATTTAAGAAAAAAACCTTTCTATGACACATACAGTTTTGGTGACATCTTCTACTCAAGGAAGAAAGACTAATATAGGTGTAATAGTTTGTGTGTACTTGCACATGTGTATGCACATACTTGTACATACATATACACACTTTGCCATACCATATACGTCCTTTCTATATATGATCTTCATGTTTATATTTTCACATGGAAAAGTCTTGAATACCAAATAAGTGAGACTGTATGGCAGGACTGTGACCAAGTAAAACATACTGTACAAGCAATTGGCAAAATGATGGAGCACATACTATTAGAGTGTTAATTTTTCCCCTTTCCCTTTTACCTCTACAAGTCCTTACCATTTGAAAAAAATAAGAAGATGGCTTGACACTTTTCATCTCAGTAAATAGCCAGTTTGAAATAATGAAAATAAAATTATCCAAATTGGACTAGGAGGCCAACTTCTAAAATAATAATATATAAAATTTGTCAGACCATTACTAATGGAGCATGTGCCTTTGAGATTTTATAATTTCATTCATTTTGAGGAGATAAGAACTCAGCAGAAGCTATATTTACAAAGCTCAATTTATGACTAATATGGTATATATCAGCTCATTTCTGCAATTTATGGAAGGCTTTTCTTATTATAAAAGTTGGTAAATATTATCACTTCTATATCTCAAAGCTAGGACAGACTAGTACGTAAAACATCTTCCAATCCTTAAAAAATAAAAAAGCAGAGAGTAAATATGGTCACCATAGAAAGACTGACCATACTTTTCCTCCTACTCAAATGAATTATTGTTCAAAACTATATATGAATGTAGGTATCTGTGGTTTATATGAACAAGAAAACAAAACATCAATTATTTGATTTACATTAAGACAGTATGTCCTTAAATTTCAAGAGCATAAAATGTGATAAGGTTTAAAACTACCTTTGGGGTGTGGGGGTAGAGGAGCTGAAGCTGAAGGAGGAAAAAAGTCACAAAGAATTAAAGCAAAACTGAAAAAAAAACCACAAGGTAGTTTATCTTACCCTGCAGTTCTACTGCCTAAAAGTGGCAGCACTATGTCCTGGCTTTAGTGGACTGACTCCGTGTCTCTGTGTTCCCCTCTGCTCCTTTCCCGGGTCGGATTCCAGCCACAACTCTGCTTGCTGGGTTCTCCTTCCTCCATTAACGGCTATTTGAAAACTGTGAAGCTCAGAAGAGGCACTAAGAATGGCTCAAACAGACACTTCAGCTGTTACCTTTGAACCCTAGTTTCCTCTTAACAAAGCTATGCCCCTGTTACTTATCATCCTACCCCAACTCAGTCATTTTACACAAACTACTTCCTGTCAGGGGTCCAGATAACAAGAGCCACCATCTTGTAGCACTAATGTCCACAAAGACTAAGAGGCTTTCCAGTATCACTACATAATCAAGGCAGGTCCCTCACTAGGAGTGAAAGGGCCTGTGTCTTTAGATTCAAGTCTAAAGGCAAAGCAGACAGTGATTTGGGTGTGGGTGTGGGGTTCAGGATTGATTTCTAGGCAGGGACAGGGCACAAAAGGCATTGAAGGAGAAATTAAATAAACACTACCTGGATCGTGGTCTTGCTTTGAGACTGTTGCAGTCCTTAGAAGTTGCTGAAACAAAAGATTACTTGTTGGTTGCTTGGGTTTTCATTTCTCAGTTAATCAGGGTGGTAAGTAGCACCTGGCTAGTACAGAACACAGCAACAAGTAAAACTAAGGTTGATGTATCCATGTGGAAAACTCAAGGGCTTTCACACTTTGATAATTCTCTGATTTTAGGCACAATGAAAAGGAGAGAAATCCAGCATGTTTTGTTTTCTTTCATTGAGATATTGAGAGGCCATTCTCAAGTCTAAATGGATTAATGGAGACATTCCAAGATAAAAAGACAACTTTAGAGGTTATCTTTTTATGTAATAATAGATTCCCACCTGAGGGCTTCTTGATAAAACCAGTTAAAACCAGTTTCCCATGAAGGTTAGGAAGGAATATATCTAGCTGCATATTTTCTTTAAGTACATAATATTGCCAGAGTTAGATGTAGTGGCTAATACCTGGTATTGGGATTCTAGAAACAGAGGCCGGAGGAATGTCACAAATTCAAGGCCAGCCTTGTCTACATATTGAGTTCTAGGCCAACCAAGCTAATTAATGAAACTCTGTCTCAAAAAATTGTGTGTGTGTGTGTGTGTGTGTGTGTGTGTGTGTGTGTACACAAAGCACCATGGTCACAAGAAAGCTGAGCTCTTACAAAATAGTTAAAAGAGATGTGATACTTTCCTATAAGAAAATATCCCTAGCCAGGTGTGGTTGCTCAGGCTCCTAATCCCAGCACTCAGGAAGCTGAGTCAGAGAGATCACCATGGGTTTCAGAGCAGCCTGGGCTACACAGCAAGTTCCAGAATAGCCTGACTAAGCTACAGAGTGAGACCCTATCTCAAAACCTCCCTCCATTAAAAAAAAAAGGAGAAAACAAACAAAAAAAAAAAGGAGAAAACATTTCTTGTTGCCCTGTCTCTGTGACCAAATCAGAAAAATACTATGGAATTAAATCATTAAAACCTGTTTCAACCATACTTTTCCTCATCAAACCTAACTCAGAAGCTAATGTGCTCACTACCAACCCGCACGGAGCCCACTTTCCCATCAGAAGTCGTGAGGAGTCATTAGAAACACTTACAGAAACATCAGTCCTCTTTTTGTGTTTCCCTCATTTGTGGAAAGTGCCTTTAGGAGCTCATGGCTCTGCTATGGTTTTGCAAACACTGCAGTTTTCATCACAAGAAGCCACAGGAAGAGCACTGCTTATGGGAGAATATAATTTGTTTCTTTGTTTCACATATTTATCCCAAAGAAAGTGTCTTGCTGCACTATTCCATCCTCATTTACACTGCTCCAAAGATAAAAGGCTCCTCTCATAGAAAGCAGCCTAGATTGATGATGGTCATTAAAACCCTGGGGTTAGACAAGCAAGGCAGAGAGGGAGCTGAAAATTCTCATAAATGCCAGCAAGGCACAAAGCAAAGTCCCGGGAGAGCGAGGCTCTCCTTCCATGTGGTCAGCTGCATAAAAAAGAGCCGTTTCTCCTGACCTAAGCATTTCGGCTTGCTGTAGTGAGAAAAAGCATGTTTGTTTCAGCTTCCAACTGAAATGCTGCCATAGCCCCCTCCTCACCAACGAAAGTATGAAAAAGCCAAAAAGATTGAGACTCTCCTTGTTCATATCATGCACCCACACCTGGGCAAAGAAGGACCAACACCTCCCTACCTCCTACCAACTCCAGGCAGCAAAGAAAGGCAACCTATGTGTGGCCTCCTGTCGCTCTCAGCCAAAGAGATTGCCCTAGAGCTAGGAAGCCAATGTGTGGCCAAACTCACGGCAGTGTTGGAGGCAGGCCTTCGAGTCAGCCCACCACTGCTCCTCTGTTTTCTTCCTCTCCTTCAGGCCTCACTGCTTTCCAGAAAGATTTGGATAGCAAAAGTCCTAGCCATGTTAAACAGTTTCCCACACGGCCAGACCATGGTAACCGTTAATTCCTTTGTCATTTGTCTTTATCTTTATCTTTGTGCTGGTGTAGGGATGGGTGTGGAAGGAAGGGTGAGCTCTGCTAATGAGAGATAGACAGACAGACAGACAGACAGATGGAGTAGGGGTGTGGATGAGCAACAGAGAAAGGAACAGGGAGCAAGTTGGGGGTCCGGAGACCCCAGGTGCTCCTCCTAGCCATGTTACCTAAACAGCTGAGCTTGCCTTTCCTCACCTATTAAGCAAGTCCCTCTCTCACGGGGACAAATAAGAAGGCTGGAGTCCTAGGAAAAGTGAATGTCCTGCAGAACTGCAAACTGCTCCTTTTATAAAGACGTCAATTAAGGCTCCTAATAGTCTAGGCCTGAAAGTCTGGATTCTGAATTTAGTTCCCTGCAAGATTAAAAAAAAGAGAGAGAGAGAGATGGGAGCAGGTAGTAGAAGGGGAAACCGATTCACTGCAGAAGGACCATGAGGTGGTCCCTAGCAATGGAACAGCACCTGGAACTGCCCACAACAGTCTGGAGACCACACTGGGCAGGTACACCTTGCCATGACCCGAAAGCAAGAGGAAAACTACCACTGTGCACTTTGTGGTTGAATTAGGCTAGAATGGAACATGGGGCATGAAACCTCTTAGACCCCACTAATACATATCCATTCAACAACTAAAAGGGAAGAGTATGTGGGAAATGTTTGACAAGGACTCTCCACTCCCTGGTGACTTAGTACCCCTCATCTATCATCCACCATATCACCCCCACCATTATCATTATTATCACCATCATGCATACTAATCAGAGCAGAGACATGCTTTTCCCTCTGTCTGCAAAGTGTATCCAAGGCCCAGCTTAGCAGTGGACTCAGGCTTCAGACTACAAAGGCCTCAACAGTACTAGTGTAGTTAAGGCTTCCATCTACCACCCTGACAGCCGGCCTCAGCTCCCCGGTGATACTCATACCTCATATGAGCATCTGCAAAAATGGCAAGGGCACACTGTGTTGCAAGCTCAAGCAAAAGCCAATGGATGGATCACAGCTTCTCATTTAGCTCGAGAGAGGGGAAAATGACAACTTCCTGGAACACTCCAGGCATGTCATTTTTCATCATCTTTCCAGGAAATGAAAAGGGAAGAGGACATAGACCTAATGACTGACCTTCTAAAAGGCTGCAACAGAACTGAGAGGAACTGTCTCCAGTACATTGACTATCATTCAGAAATCTAATTACCCACCCTTGTGATTCTCCTATCTCCCAGGGGAAGACTGCGGGGTCTTCCCAGGAAACAGGCTGTTAAGTATGTTTGAGATGAGTGATCGAATCACATCCAGAAGGGGGCAGCAGTGCGAAGACTAAATCAAAAAACACACAGCATGTTCCCAGGCAGAGTGAAACAAATTTTGATATACTTCTTGTGCTGTGGCACACCTGTTAGGTTTTATCTAGTGGTGCCAAGTCCTGGTCAAAGAATGTTAAAAATGAGAACCGAGGCTCATGCCTCAGAGAACACTTGATCTTATGCTGAAATCTCTGGAACAAATAGAAAGATTTAGGATTCTCAAAGCCTATAGGAGAAGCATTAATTTAACACTCCAAATTGAAATAGCTTTTACTAATACCATGTCATAAAATTTACAAAAACTGCAACGCATCCCCCTTAACATCCGAAATCAGAGCAGCTAAGAATTGGTCACAGGTGTTTGGCCTATACAAATGGAGCATTTCCCCTATGATGAATGGACCTAAATATTTCAAAAGCCAAAATCGAGCTTGAGAATTCCCACGGATTTTGGAATCATGATTGATTTACCATCTTGACTTCTTATTTTGCAGCATCATTTCTTTGAAGGTAGTGGTTTCCAAACAGGCCGCATACCAGAATCACCTTGGGGGCTGGTGATTTCTCCTGTCCAGTCCACCCTATCTCCTTCTCCCTCCTCTTTCTCCATCCTGCTCTTGCTTTTGAACTTCAAATGGCCTTAGTGTTTGGGAAACATTTATAGCAGCATAAGCTTCAGCAGTCTAGTGATTTCTTTGTTGCAATTTCAAACAAATAAGCTCAGGATGGTAGGTAGCCAATCATAAGAAACATTATTTACATTCTACATATGCCAGAGCAATAATAATAAAGAAAAAAAAGAAACTTCATTCAAATCCTCATAACCAAAGATCTAAATAGAAATGCTTTCTGGAGCCACTTGTTTTTTTAACATGGTTCATCTTGCTTCAATGATGGCTCCATTCAGAGAGTTAAAGGAGGTTGGAGAGATGGCTCAGCAGTTAAGAGGGCCTACTGTTCTTACAGAGGTCCTAGGTTTAGTTCCCAGCACCCACATGGCAGCTCACAACCATATGTAATTCCAGTTCCAGGGGATCCAACACCTCTTATTGACTTCCATGGGCCCTGCACACACATCAGGCATGCACATATACCCAGTCGCACACACACATATACATATAAATAAATAAATAAATAAATAAATAAATAAATAAATAAATAAATAAATGAATGAATGAATGAATAAATAAATAAATAGGTTTTTACAGAAAGAGCTGAAAACACAGGCCCAGACATTCTCTATGGTTTCTCTGACACATTTCTACTTCTCCAAGAAACTGACCAGCACAGCTTCTCTTTTTTTTCTCCTTGGAATCCACTCCATGTTTAAGCAGTACCTTCTTGATAGGGAAGAATTATAAAGATATTTAAGACTGACACTTGGGCAATGGATAATATCAACTCTGGGCCTCAGGTTAATCCACCTTCTGAGTTCCTTACTTTACAAAGAAAGCACATGAGTTTATCTAACTCACTGAAATTCTACGCTGTCCCGATTTTATACTTCTAAATTCACACTGAGTGAAATCTAAAGTCACGTTCTTCTGAAAGAGAGAAAGGGTAGGATATCTAAAGCTTCTTGCAACAAAACACAAGCCAAAGATCTAAAGACAAAAAGACACACTACCACAGACACAAAAATCTTCAAGTCACCAAACAGCTGAGGCTTTTTAATTTAGAAATTATTAGACAGAGAATACAATAAAATGGTTTTCTCCTACCTGTATCCTCAGACACGTCCTTTGGTAAGGGTTCATTAACAGTACTTTTCAAAGCTAGTAGTATTTTGTTTCATGTTTAAGGAAAGAGAAAGGAGAAGAAAAAGAAAACAAAAGCCTTGTGAAATTTTATTTCTGAGATACATGACATTAAAACAAATAGCTCCTATCCATGAGTTACAAACCCTGTAGAAGCTGCTATAGCATTTCTAGAACAATAGAAACCTCATAAAGCATGAAACCAGGGTCTCCACCTAAAGAAGGAAGGACTATTTTCAACTTCCTAGAGAGACAGCCACTATTGGTTAGGAGGTGTATTACCAAAAAGCATCCCAAATTTCTCCCATTTTCCTTCCTAACAGCCAGATCCATGACAGGAGAACGGGATTTAAACCCAAGGTTCAATGTTTTTAGAGCTTTGCAGTCAAGGCAAATACTCACAAGTTAGAAGAGTGATCAACTGCAGATAATATCTAGTTCCACTTGAATCTCATAAACAAACATTTAACTAGAAAACCTGAAACCACCGTTGCTTAATGGAAGCCTTCTTTTTCATGTTTAATGTCTCTGTGAGGCAGAATTAATGGCAGGGCTCCACAATAAAACCTGAAATGGCTTCCCTTCAGACAGGCTTCTCCCACTTGTGAGTGGTGAATTGATATAACAGATGGAGTACTGGCTTAAGACAGACAATCTTGGTTCCTGTCCCAGTTCTTTTTCTTCTTGTACAAGTAGATGATTCATACTGGCTGCCTGAGCTCAGTTGCTTATTTCTAAATGTTAAGTGATTTCAAAAGCACTAGTTTTTGTGAGGTCTGTACAAAAGACGGTATATGAGGAAGGACCTGGTAAATTATTAAAAGGATCATATAAAGTACAGGGTTTAGAGGAGAGGGTCTTGCCTGCACTTCTGGATATTGCAAGTGAACTAATCCTCATGCCTGAGGGTATCTCTAGCACTGAACACTATGCTGCATGCCTTCTCAGCTACCCAGTAAAACAAGGACATTGAAATCAGCCTCCATATCACACTTCCATAACCACTGGGCCAATGAGAAACACATAAAGCTTTAGAAATTGACACACTGTCTGAAAGAACTTCTTCATGGATTAGACCTGTATACAAATGCATATTAATGATGGTTTATTTTTTCAAATTGTTTATGGCAACACTAGAAATTAATCTTCCAGTTCTTTCCATTTCCCAACTATGGGATCAGAATCCAATGTACGGTGTCAAAGTACCCTAAGATTAACAATAACCAATGAATTAAGGCGATTCAGAAACTGAAGGTCATACTGCAACTTTGTGAACTATGGGTGTCTGACAATTGAAACTATCTATCCAAATGAGTGGACATTCTGAGCATTGTCCTCATATGATCTGGAAGCTCTTCCAAGAGAAATAGATGAGGAAACATAGAAAGGTGTCCTTATAAGAATAAAACGAATTCTTTTCATACCTTGTTTGTCATCACCAGTAGTCACATCTTGAGTAGGAACAGGAAAGTCAGCCATGTCTTTAACAGATGTCTTCTTGGAAAAGAAAATTATATGGGTTAAAATAAAAATTAAGTGATAAGCACACATGAATATACGTTTTAAAGGTTATAGTTCATGTCAAAATTTATGTCTTCAGTAAGTTCTGACATTTAATACTATTTTATTATTTGGTTTCCTAATGAGGTATAAGTAAATTAGGACTAAAATATTTATATACATAGAGTAAAGAAATAAATTTGGGAAACTTAAAGATTCAAATTAAGGCATATTAGTGAATCTTACATTAAATTTGAATCCTGAGTGAGATTCAACCAGAGATTTTTTTTTTTTACATTTGTCCAGTCAGCCAAGCACCAACCTGGCCTTTATAAACTTTTTCACAAACAGAGAGAGGATTTGATAATGACCCTATAGTGGAAGTATTTGCCAGGATCAACCTCCTTATGGTAGAGTAAAAAAAAAATTACTGATGGGCAAATCAGAAATTTCCCCTTAAGCTGGGCATAGTAGCATATACCTTTAATCCCAGCACTCAGGAGGCAGAGACAGGCAGAACTCTGTAAGTTTGAGGACAGCCTGGTTTACAGAGCGAGTTCCAGGACAGCAAGAGCAATACTCTTGTATAATATTAGAGGGACCAGCCTTAATATTATACATCCCAGGGGCTCAGGAGAGAGAACTACTAATGACGAGGACTATTTTCAGGAAATAGAATCTCAGCACACCAAGCTCTATAGTCCACTTGCTTTAATTCCTCTGGCATAACATCCTTTATACCCAGCTTCAGTTCTGTTCTCGTGCCTAGCTCCTTTCTTGCCTGATTTCTCTCTACACTTACCTAAGTTCTATCTTAATTCTCTCATCTTAATTCTGCCTCATCTAGGTCTTTTTTACCTTGTTCTTACCCAGCTAGGGCTTTCCCATCTGCCTCTTCCTCATCTTCCATCTCATTCCTCTACTACTCTCTTCTAGCTCTTCAATCTAGTTCTTCCCCATCTCAGTTTGTTCCTCCTAAGTTCTTACCCGTCCCGTCGAGTTCTTTCATTCTCCTTTCTCTTCTCCATCTCCCTGTGCCCAGGAAGTCCTGGGATATAAAGCCAGACTTCCAGGGTCAAACGGAGGGGTGATAAGAATCACATAGGGAGCCAATAACCGTTAATTATCATTTGCAACCCCAAAGGGAAGTGACCAATGGGGAAATGAATTAACTAAAGGCTAAATTCGTGTAATATCTAAGAAGAGGGATCTTACGTGCTCAACTATTAAACTCTTAAACGTGATTAGTAGAAAATGTTAAGAATCTATAAGTTGCTAGGTCAATGGGAGAAAATAAAACTCTCTTCTTTTTTCCTGTGGCTCCTATCTGTCCAAGCTATCTGTCATTTTTCTGCAGGGTGGGGGAAAGTGTGCTCAGTCGCTAGGCAACCTGTGTACAGCTAGATGCCTCTGGTGATAGTTAAAGGGAGATCTGGAACTAAAGGTAAGGTTTGGGAAAGGAGGAAGTAAGGTTTAATTGGCACATCCGCCAGGCCTTCTCAAACAGATAGCCTGGATGCTTAAGTCTGTACTTAGAGAGTACAGAGGTATCTCTGATAAGGTACTTTCCTCCATCTGGGGATGGACCTGGCCGGATGCTGCCAATGATGATAATTACAGGGAGGCTTGAACTGGGGTTCTGGCTAAGCATAGCTATCAGTGTGAAGGGTTATCTAAACATTCCTAGAAGTGGTTAGGTAAGGAGTTAGCAGTCTATAAAGTTAGTAAGACTGTAAGAAAGGAGGGTCTGAGCTGAATTGTGTAAAGCTATTACTTAACGTCCACCTGACCTAGGTGGTGTCTCCTTGTGGAATTTACCTTAAATCAGGAGACTTTCATGTGGACTGTTATTATTGCTAGTCCTTGAAAGTGGCTAAGGGAGATATCTGATTCCAGAGAAAGCCTTTCCTGAGGCTGTTCTCCAAATACCTGGAATGTGTATGTCCAGAGAGTGATCGATCAGTCCACACTGTTAGCCCTTCTTAGGGAAAAGTCAACTGGGAAAACTATGAAGGCACACATGATTTTCATAACAGAATACAGCTGATATATAACAAGCCAAGTAACACCAAAAGCTCCTTGGAATTTGGCTTCCTCTGGAGGAAATCCTTGATCTCTCCAGGTAGTGACTTTGCCATAACCAGCTGAGTTCTTATGATATATTCCTGCGGCCCGCAGCACAATACAGAGAAACCCTATCTCAAAAAATATACCCCTAACTCATAGATGAGAAAAGTTCTCAGAATACTAAAAAGTTGAGTATCCAAACTGATCACATATGAATTGTTTTGACATAGTTTAAAGTTAACAAACTATAAATTTATTTCCAATAAGCTCCTCCAATATGTACTCTAACTATAGTATTAGAAATATATTATGCTTAAAAATTGCCCAGGGGGCAGATCTTAAATCTCTGCTGAAATCAAGCCATTGTGTGAGGTGTTGGGGGAACTATGTGACTTTGACTATGTAATTGTTTCACAATGTGTGTATGTCTCTATACATGTATCAAAACACCATAAACGTGCAATTATATTGGTCTACCTCAAAGCTAGAAAATATGTACTCTAAGGTCTCTGCTGTGATTAGAGGATAATATATTCATATTTGTTTTATCTTTATATGCAAGGTCTGTAAAGTTATCTAAGAATAGATGAATAGCTAGGTAGGTAGACAAAGAAGTGACAAGATGACTTGTCGCTCAATGCACTTTGGTACTACATACATTTTAAACATATTTGAAACTTAGAGATCAATTTAAAAATGCAAATGAAGGTGATTAAATTCATAGAGGTGTTTGGTGTCCAATGGCTAACTTGTGTTTGCAGCTCAAAACTCAAACAACTACAAAGAGATAACCCATGTTTCTGGTTTTCAAAAATAAAAGAGTGCAGTACTACTTGGTGGGAACCTAATCAAAGGTCTAATAATCCACATCTAGGTGATTCTTTAAGTGTTAATATTGCTTTTATGGCCAGATGGTGGTGGTACACGCCTTTAATCCCAGTACACTGGAAGCAGAGGCAGGTGGATCTCTGTGAGTTTGAAGCCAGCCTAGTCTACAGAGTAAGTTCCAGGACAGCCAAGGTTACACAGTGAAACCTTGTCTTGAAAAAAAATCGCTTTTACAACATAATGTAGTATATATTAACTCATTTTAAAGTAAAAAGATTTGATGTACAATGAGTCCATTTAAACCAAATAGTAGCTAAATTATACATTCGTGGATAGTGTTAAATTCTAGGATGCAGAAAAAACTTTAGCTGAATTTCTTGAAATAGCCATGATTTTCTTTGTGTGCATGAAGTTCCAAGTAATCTTTCATTTCATTTGTAATTTATTTTGAGAATTTCATATATAAGTGCTGTGTTTCTATCATTTCTACTGCATGCTCTCCTCCTCTAATTCCTCCTATGTCCTCCCCACTCCCTTTCAAATTCATGACCTCTTCTTCTTTCATAATTATTTTATGAACACATGGATATATGGATATATGACACAGCCTGCTAAACCATCTAGTGTTGCTTGTATGTACATGTGGTTAGGGCTGAGTGCTTGGTACTGGATAACCTATCAGGGATCTTGTCCCTGGAGAAGACTGATTCTCCGTCTCTTAGTCACTCATTTCCTGTAGTTCCTCGTCTAGAGGTAAGCCAATGACAACACCAGTTGACATTTCAATGTAGAAGGAGGAAATCTCACAAGGCCCTCTCACTTTTTGATTTATGCAGTATCATCTTTCTGTAGGCTAATCCATAGTCCACATCTCCATTTTAGCCATTCCTTCTGAAAGGGCAGCTAACATGTCTTTCAATTTGCTTGACATGGCTTGCATTCCTATCCTAATAGGTGATTCTCCACACTACAACAACCCCCCACCAAAAGAATTTCCTGTTTGTCATCTACTATCTCCAGTAAATTACCGAATGAGTCTTTTTTTTTTTTACAGTGCTGGGGGTTGAACCTAGAGTCTCATAGCATTCTAGGCAAGTGGCTATACCACCAAACCATATCCCCAACCTGCTTTTCTGTTTTTCACTGAGTTTCCCAGGCCAACCTTAAAAATCACTCCCTAGCCCAGAATGGTCTTGGGCTTATAATCCTCCAGTTTTAACATAGCAAGTAGCTGGCAATATGAATGTGGCCAGACAATAGTTTCTTTTATTGTCCTCTCCTACCTGGACCACATTAGAGAAGAAAATGGTCTAGGAACAAAAAAAAATGCAGATACAAAGAAATCACTGAAAAATCTTGCTGATGATATAGCTCAGTGGTAAAGCACTTGCTCAAAACACCAAAAACAAACAAAAGGGCAAATAATAATGGACACAAGATTTTAATAGCTATTTCACCAAAGAAAATATATAAATGGCTAACAAGCACATGAAGAAAGAAATGTTCAACATCACTGATCATTTTCCAACTGAAACCATAAGAAGATATACCTACATACCACTAGGATGGTTAAAATGAAAATTCAGTAACAAGAGTTAGCAGGGATATGAAGAAACTGGCGCCTTCAGACATTTCTGGATGGAGAAGTGAAATAATGCAGTTGCTTTGGGAAGCAGTTTGGTGGTTTCTCAAAAGTTTAACACAGCTATGTTATAATCCAACAGTTCCACTGGTAAATATACTGAAAAGATATTTGTCCACACAAAAACTTACACATATAGGTTCATAATAGCCAAAATACGCAACAAGAAGAAAGAACTAAACAAAATGTGGCGAATGAATGAATGAACTACCTTCAAAACACTATACTAAGTGAAAAATACACTTATAAACCACAATACACTATTATCCTATTTATATGAAATGGTCAGAATAACTAACCCAGAAACAGAAAGGTTAATGGGAGCCAGAGAGATGGATCAGTGGGTAAAATCACTTGTTGCCAAGTCTGGAAACCCAAATTCAATCCTCAGACCCCACACGGTAAAGAGAAAGAATTGACTCTGCAAGCTGTCCTCTGACCTCCATGCTGATGTCATGGC